GCTCACTGACAGCACTGTGAGGAGGCAGTACATAAGTTTATATATAAAAATATATATATATCTTGAGGAGTCAGTAAATGTTGTGTTTGCAGCAGGTCCTGGGATTGTCATGGTGTCGTGACTCAGCACTGGTTGACACCAGCTGCCAGCTCCAGCTTGGATAAATAAGTGGGAGGTAAGAATAACTGTGACACATGCAGAAAGCGCTCTCAGGAGGGGGGCTTCAGCGGCGGGGCACCCCGGGTGGGTCTCCTGAAAGGTCACCTGATACCACAAAAGCGTTTGAGGTGCTTCTTCAAACCCTGCTTTCTTGTTTTACTTCCAGCCGACGTCGGCACAAAGCGGTCGTCTGATCTAAACGCGCAGCGTGTAGTCACTGAAAGTTGAGTCAGCGCCTCTCTGAGGGCTCGGCGGATGTTCAGGTGTCATCCTCTTCACGCCGAGTTTGTTTCCAGGCGGAGTACTCACCTCCTCACTTTCAGCCATGACGCAGCCGGAGGGGTCACAGGAAGGCCTGGCGCAGGCGCCGGAACATTCTGCAGTGACAAGAACCGCTTAACGAACGGAGATACGCCACGAGCTGGAAGACTTACACAACCACAAGAAAATCTTTAAAAAAAAAAACAGCTTTAAAAAAATAATCACAAGACGTGGAAGCATTTGTTGCTATAAACTTTTAAAAATATCACTTGAACCAGACTGGTGGCTGCATTATGCTGTGGGAAATGTAAAAAAAAAAAAAAAGTTTGGATTCTGTTCTCAGACTTCGGGGAAAGTTGCTGTCATTTCCATTTGTTTCCGTTTTTCCTTTTGCCGCTATATTTTGCGAGTCACCGTTAACACACACCCTTTAAAGCTGTTCTAAATTATTTTTATGTTTTAAAAAAAGCCCATAAAAAACAGAAGTTTGCCAGAATGTATTTTCATTCATTCATCGTAGTTTCACAAATACAAAGTTGCAAGGCTTCCCGCCGCCATAAAAGGCTTCTCAATGTTTCAGCTCTTCTGCTGCAGAAAAGTGATCAGAATGGTCCAAAGCTCAGTTCATTCATTTTAATAGTCAAAAAGTGATGAAAATAGAGCAAATAAATAAATAAATTGCTGAGGTTCATCTGTTAATCTGGCCTTTTGACTTTTTATCTTTAAAGTTCGCCCGAGGCGTTTTTCACTATCTGCCTCGCACCTTTTTTTAATTAGCTTTCCCCCTGTTTGCCTGTCAGTTGACTGTATTAATTATTTAAAAAGGGATTTGGGGTGAATTTGCTGTGCAGATAGGCCCAGGGCCATAGGCTATTTGATGAGCCCATTAAGACACGTTTTAATCCTTTAGCTGCAACTCTGACACAGAATGAGACAGGAACCTGATTCAGGATCCTAAGGGAGGTTTGGCAGACTTGGGTGGGGGGGAGGAAACTAATTTACTTTAAACCTAGGCTGGCTTTTTACACAAAGCTGCACATCCAGGGTACTTTCGGATAATTAAGATTCCCCTAATCTCAGCAAACCCATGAGCTGTGTATGGTGCGGTTCTGAGGCCTTGTCGTGAGGCGCCACTTCCCCGCAGCACTGCTTGCGTCCAAACTGCGCCTGCGAGATCGTGTCACGTCTGCGGAGTGACGGCTATTAATATCGGTACGACCCGTGTGTGTAACGCGACGCCTTCAGAGGCACGGCTCCTGCTCCGGCTGACTGTTTTTCATGAATGGGACTCCCGGACAACCTTGGACCTTGTGAGCATGACGGTCGGTGAGGTCAGCCGCCCAGGAAAGAAAGTGGCCCTCAGACATCATGTGGGTTGGATATATTTATTTCCTCGACTCATTCGCAGTGCAAAATAGACATCCGGGTAACAAAATAGCCGCGACTATATATCGGAGACAAACAATGCAATAAATGTGCAAAAAAAAAAAAAAAAAAAAAAGCGTTAAGCTTCGAAACACTGTGCAACATTGACGCTTCGCAAACAATAGTAGGAACTCTGAGAGACAATAAAAGGAAAGACGATGTCCTACATTGCCTGACAGAGGCGTTTATACCAGTTGATCTATTCCACATTTTTTGTTTTATTTCAAAACACAGACTTTTAAGGAGTTTCATGGGGACTGGGTAAGACCGACTGGGTAAGACAACATGCTCTTGTTGTTCTTGGAAAAGAACAACAAGAGCATGTTGTTTTTCTGCGCTCAGAACAGAAGTTCTGTTCTGGGCGCAGAACAGAACTTTTTCACCAACAAGCGAAACACCGTGTGGCAGAAAACCAACACTGCAGGTCACCCTGAATGTACCAGCCCCACTTTGAGACCCGGTAGGGGCAGCATCATGCTGTGGGGAGTGTTTTTCTCCAGCCTCTTGCAGTTTTACAGAGGGAAATTGGCGAAAGGCTGTGGCCAACAATGACCCGACACACACAGCTGGATGTGCAAGAAAATAATTTGAACCATTTTTATTTATTTTTTTTAGAATGGTCCAGTTAAAGTATGAATGCAATTGTGAGTCTGTGCAAAGACTTGAACACGAACGTTCTCCGTTCAACCTGACTGAAGCTTCGACGGGTTGCAAACGTTTTCTTTCCGCTCCATGCAGTCTCCTGCGTTGGCCCGTCACAGAAAATACCAGAGATAAAATGCCGTTTGTGGTTTTTAGTGACAAAACGTGGAGACGTTGAGAGTGAATGTTGGCTTTTGCAAGGCGCTGAACATAATGCAATATTTAATAGGACTTCGGTTCGTATTACAAGTGGGTCAAGTAGTGGCAGCTGCAGTCCTGCGGCACGTGTCTACTTCATAAAATCTCATTGAAGGCAGATAAAGCTCGTTAAAACTCTGTTTGACAATAAAAGTGTCTGAAATTCAGATGACTGACCAAAAAATAAATAAAAAAGGACGGTTTCATGTTGGCTAAATGCATGCGACGGCTGCCAGAGGGATTTTAAGAAAGACGTCTGGAAAGTAGTCCCCTGACTAACGATACCATAAATAAACATTTACATAGCTTAGAGTTTGGCTATCAAATATACAACGCTCTTTAAAATAGAATCAACTTTCTACAAAGCTAGTACAAATGGATTTAGGAAAGAACTCTCTCCCATAGTACTGCATGTTGCCTCTATTTACAGGAAATAGAAAGGAACCAAATTCACATAACCGACATAAATATAGTTTTGTGCTTCTATGCGTTTCTAGCATGCTTTGAGTTCGAAGCGATTGTCACAAGAAAAAAAAGAACATTTCACAAATGTAAACAATGTCCTTTGATTACATACAGAATTCAGCAGTAGATGATGCTTAAGATAGGTTTTCTGATCTCCTTATGTACAAGATTCAGACACAAATCACGTCCTATTCTAAACTTCTAATAGATCCTCAAAACAAAACATTTGGTACTTTGTCAGATCTTCACACGTGAAGCTGGCAGTAATCCTTTTCTAACTGTACCTTTAAAAAGCTGAGGAGGTTTCATAAACATCTAGCCAACTATAGTATTATATATATATATATATATATATATATATATATATATATGTAGATACATATATATTACATGAAACTGAAATGCGTCTCAATAAATTAGAAAATCATCATATTATCGTCGCGAAGATCGTAATTATAGCTTACAGCTGCTGCAAACCCAAATTCAGTTTCTAAGAGTATTAGGAGATTGCATAAAACTAATGAAAGTACTGTTTCAATTCAGAAATGTTGAGAAATAACTGGGAAGATTACAGAGTTGTTCAGCAGACACTGACAGAAGCTCGCAGAGTGCTCTACGCAAGTCCACTGGTGGAAAGTTGAGCAGAATGAGAAATTGTGGTGCTAAAAGTTCCTTGAATTTGGCAGCATGATGAGGAACTGAATCCAAGATGCTTGAGTGTAAAGCGTCTTCCCAAACTATTCTCATAGTTTGGGAAGATTGTCGTCTGCTGGTGTCAAAAAGTCCAAAATTGGCTCATTCTTCCCTCTGCTGACAAGCTTCACGGAGATGCAGATTTCCTCCCTCGCTGCCAAATCAGAAGCTGATTTAATGACCGTGACTGGTCAGCAAGCTGGCCTGACCAAAGGCCCAGAGTGAATCCATGAAGTGGCAATAAGACGCCCTGCATAGGACACAGCGCTGTATTTAGTGGGTTGACTTTTCTGCACTAAAACCCATTTATGAGACAAAAGCAATATTCAAGTTTTCAAATAAACAGAATTTTGGGTTTTCCTCAGCTGTAAGCCATAATCATCCAAATCAACAAAGAGACATCAAACAAATTCCTCTGTGTGTAAGTAATCTCTAAAACCCCTGAATTTGCCCATTTTTCAACTAAATCACTGAAATAAATGGACTATTTGATCCCGTCCTTCATCAATTAGACCATTTTCTGGGTGGGAGTTTCTTCAGAAAGCCGATTTAAAATGTTTGGTAAGGAAAAACTTCAGAAAATCTCACTGTAGGAGTTTGATGCAGAAAGTTCGAGAACTCAAGCGAGAGTGCTTTGTTTCACGATTGTGAGTTAAAGGCGAAAGAGGAGCTGACTTCACCCATCAGAGGATCAATATTGGAGTTTTGCAATAAAAAGAAGAGATTTATAAATACAGGAGTGCAAACTGACTGGATGTCACGTTTTAAGCTCGCTTTGTTCAAACTTACAGACAGAGGATTATTTTTCATCATTATCAGAAACACCTACCTGACACAAGACGAAACATAAAATTAAATTATTCAATTTTACAAATTAATTACATCCTAACTAGGGAATAATAAGAACGAGCATGTCGCATGTTAAAAGAGAAGAAGATCATATCCACAGAGGACTGTCACAACACAAGCGTACGTCTATTGAACAGATTAACTTCTCGATCGGGCCGCAGCGCTCAGGCCGAGCCCGTCGTTCCCAGTCCGTGTTTTCGTGTACCGTCTCGCTGGAGAACAAACTTCCCACGTTTTCACGTGTCACGATGAAATGATTTCTGTTCAGTCGGCTTAGGTGGCGAGAACGCAGGCTGGTCCGAAGAGGACGTCCGTCCCATCCAATCAGCACCGGACGAGAGCTCTCAACAAGCCGGCCATTGCCAGTAGCAGGGCGGTGGCTGCGGTGAGAGTCACAATGGAGTTCCAACCTACCTCACTCCCCTGAGGGGACAGACAGAAAGACAGAAAGTGTTAGGACATGTGGGGAAGTTCTGCGTTTGCTCTCGTTCTGGTGAAAAGTTTGGGAAAGCCGGTGATCCGTCTAAATGTACATTTAAATGTTTGTCTTTAAGTGTCGTGCCTGAGCAAAAACAAACTCTAACATTATTCTGGATGGATGTTTTTCGGCTTAGATCCAGCTTGTGAGCATAACCCATACATTTTCAACGGAGTTGAGATTTGGGCCATTTCAGAAGCTTCATGTTCGCCTGCTTTTTCTGATCTTTTTATTTTTTTTATTTGCTTTTGCGATCTTTGTCCTGTCGGAACAAGCAGTTGTGCACAAGTTTCAGGCAGCTACTAGTTGGGCCAAGAGTTAGAAACAGTCCTGCTTCTTTATTTTTTGCATACACATTACGTAGCATGACAGGACGACTCGTATCAGAACCCACACCATGATGCTGCCACCACCAAATCCGGCGGTGGATGCAGTGACTTTGACTCTTCCTCTCGCCTCTTTACGGACAGCTGATTCAAACTCTACTAACCATAAAACCTTTCTGCAGACGGCAGCTTCAAATTACGGTCAAACTTAAACATGTTGAATTTTGATCATGTTTTCTCTACTTGGTCTGCAGGTCACAGTTTGGGTCCGATGGGAAATCGATCATTTTTGAACCACTGCTCAAAGGCAGGTCTGTACAAGACGCCATAAATGAACCACTTCATTTGTGCGGATCCAATTCTTTTGATTCAAAGGACTTTTTACTTTTTTTTACAGTTCCGTTGCATCGGTAAAAGTCTGGAAAGTGTGACTTTCACACCCCACAGGGACTGAATATTAACTTCTCGCTGGAATTGTATTCAAGGATTTTACCAGGACATTTAACGAATAGTTCAACATGTTTAGAAAATCTGAATATTTGTTTGGGAACAGACAGGAACTCTAAAGCTTGCAGATCATCACAGTTTCAATTAGATTACAAACACTGAGGCAAATCCAGGCATATCAGACTTCACCGGTTGTGGTGAGGATCTCAACCCACCCTCACAAAACCACTAATTATTGTTTTCAGATTTCTGCCTGCGTTCACAACTCGAGCACCCAGATGTCTTTAGCTCGGCGTTAGCCGAGACAAGTGTAGCCCGGGCCGCATCGTCGCACACTCACTGACAGAAACTGCTTAGACGTCTTCCTCAGCTCTTAACTGAGTTCATTAGAGGTCAGGTTACAACACCTGACAGAAAAATGACCCAAACCCACCACACATGAAGAGCAACTGGACAACACAACCGCCTCATGCTGCACACGGGAGCCAAATCGCTGTTCATCCAGCCTGTCCAAACTTGGGCATTTAACGCTTTTTGCCAGTAAGTGAATCATTAAAACGTTGCCAGCAGCACTGCTTTTCTGTCTTTCTTAAAGCTGCTAAACATTTTAAATGCAAAGTAGAAGAGCCTTTTATTTAGTCAATATATGAAGACTTCCAAGAGCGATAGCCAGGGATTCACTTTAAATTTAACAGCAGCAAAATCTTTAATGAAAGTCATCACATCTCAGTTCTGAATATTACGTCACATTGACACCGTTGCCTGATTAGAAACTGCATTCAAGACAAAAAATTAAGACTTTTTATGAAAATAAATAAATACATAACAAAAACAGCTATGAGCATTTGTTTTAATCCATTGATATGGATATTTAAACATTATCTTGTCTATTTGGTGACGCACATGTCATGAGGCGCACCTGGACCCCTCTTACGGTGTTTTGATGCCATCTTTTTACTTAAACACAAAATAAATGTTTCAGAGGTCACGTTTGTGGACGGCACGTAAACCGAATGCAATAAAAGTTCCTATTGTGTCGTGCAACAGTTGAAACGATCAAAATAAAGTTGACGACAAACCTGTAAACTTGATGACGTCATAATTTTTGACTCTTTTTATCTAAAACTCGAAAGGGCATTTTGCAATTTAGAGGGAGGTTTAGGTTTAGTTCTGATTTGTCAAACTGCCCACCCGTCCTGCCATGTTGAGCTTGCATCATAAAACTCAATCATAACATTTTGATTTTCTGGATTAGGATTAGAATATTTCAAACATGCAGAACAAATTCAAATCACAGTCTTTCAATAATCTGTCAAAGTTGACAAAAAAAAGGAGTGAAGTTATGAAACAGTTGCACCTAAAATTATTCAACCACCGCTGCAAATTGTTTGCAACAAAGTGCTTTGATTAATTAAATAGACATAACATTTGACATGTAATAATAATAATAACAATGCTAACAATTATAAAGTTTATATCTTGGCACAAACAGGAAAAAGGAGGACACAACTCGTTGATAAAGACCTTGAATTTTTGTGTGCAAGGCTAAATTTAAAGGAATAGTGCCTACATCATCTGGAATCAAGATGGATTCAGGTTCAAGAAATCCTGATTGGAAAATGTCTGTGAGGACGCTAATGCTTGAGCCTCCCAAAATCAGGACAACAATGGTGACTGCAGACAGCCGTGAGCTTGCATACTTACCAAATAAATACGATTTGCAGAAGTGATTTGTCTCATTTTCGTAAAACTGTTTTAAAACTTTTTGCTTCAAGATTATTATCCTCCTCTTTTTTCTTTCTTTTTTTTGCCACAATTGAGTCATTTCTTTACTTTCTTTTTGAATTTGTTATTTAATTAGACACTCAGCTCGTTTGCTTAGCACTACTGGAAGATTTTCTATGAAGCATCTCAGGTGACGTTTCGTTCGGATGTCCAGATTAGCAAAACAAATAAACAAAACAATACATCAGGTAGAGATAAGCTCCTGCCATACCTTGCTCTCTGGGACGCCAGCTCCGACAACCAGCACCAGACCACAGCCACAATTATAATCATTCCTACGAAGGGGATGGAGAGAACAGGGTGCTCAGATGGATGGATGAATCTCTGAGGAGGGAACAGAAAACAAACACAAGGGCCATGGAGGTGACGGGGGTGAATGAATGGATGACCTGATAGAATCGAAACAATAATAAACATACACTCCAGAACAAACACACACAAAATAAATGAGACATGTTCTAATGCTGGGATTTGCACGGGGAAGGACAGCGATGGAGCAATTTGAACGCCCTATAAAGCAGACAATGCGTAACTTTACGATGGCATTAAGCATTAGGTCAAGATGAGAATGTGTGCTCAGGATTTGCGCGGCATTTGTCGTCAAGCATGTGATGGTTTGAAACAGAAAGACGAAACAATGTGAGGGGGGCAGTTTCGTTGTCTCTATCCTCGTTAATGCAGCTAATTTGTCGTCTGACAGGCTGAGAGGTCATGGACATTCAGAGAACAAGGACAGCGTCAGAGACGGGCAGACAGCTTGACACGACGCAGACACACTGCTTCAGTGCTGTTGAAGACAAAACATGAGGTTTTGTTTTTCGTCCTGCTTTTGTTTTGTCTTTGAGCACCAATGGGTTCAGTTTTTACCTAACTGGTCCCAGATTTAGAAGATGAGTAAATATCACAAACAATAAATAGTCAGGAAACATGTGTTTGGTTGGTTTATTTTCTTGTTGTAGGCGTTGAAAAGCCACAGAGTTTGGTATGTAGTTTGCAGACATAAGATTTCTACTCTCTCTCTCTCATGGCCAAACGTCTCTTGGTCGGTCATCTGGTAAACATGACCAAATAGCAGAATGAGCTCAAGTAATTAGTTTTCCTTTCGGCTCAGTTTCGGTATCCAAACTTCAGCTTGAGGGTCGTTTGTGTGACTCGCGGCTTTATATCAAAATGCTACTATCTTAGCCTGCCACCACATGCAAGAGGTGGTGTTCAAGACAAAGTGCTTGTCTTTGTTCACACTTTTGTCTTTGTTCACACTTTATGCTTTCATTGGATGTTTGTTGCTGGACAACAAAAACCTTTACTCTAAAGTTCGCAGACTTCCGAGCACACATTGATTGCATTTAGCTAAATATTGCAAGCGTTTCTGAGTGTAGACAAAACTATTTCTCCACCATTCAAATCATACTTGAGGAGATTCTGTTTTAATAAGAAAAAAAACATAGAATGTGTTAATTGATTACTCTTCTACAAAGATTTGAGTGCTTTATCTCCTTTCATAAAATGTGGTGTGAAGATTGAGCAGGTAAATATATAAAAAAAAAATCTCCCTTGAAATTATTTTCGCAATTTCAATTTAGAAAAATGTGAATTTCTGGACCGGAAAGTAAATGTTTTTTAAAGGAAATAAAGCTTCAGCATGGACTGACATTTACTTCTATTAAATAATAATAATAATAATAATAATAATAATAATAATAATAATAATAATACATTTTTCTATGTCTTTGCTCAACAGTATAGGAGAGAAATCGGGCTACGTTAGCATCAGTGCGCTACAAACTTTTTGTCATGGAAAGCTCAACATCCCCACGCTCTGAAAAATTGTATAACACATTAATATGGAAATTAGACTGTTTTTAACTTATTTGTTGAAATAAAAATTGTGCTAAATGGAATATTTAAAAAAAAAATTCAATGGGTGTCTAAAATATTTTGCTCATCAAACTTTATTTGGTAATCCATAATTTATTATTATTATTTTTTCCATTCTTATTTTTATTTAATAGTGTTTTTGTCCATCAACAGAATTCAAGCACCGTCGTCACAGAGAGGTCAGGACACAGACAGCGTGGACGTGAGGGGACGATTTCCCCCCGGCCCAAAGAGGAAAACAAATGCTGATATGAGCCGACAGGCCAGACCGGTTCATATCAGAACATGTATCTCCACAGAATGGGACACATAAAAAGTGGGCAACACACACAGGATACGAGTGGGTGCTATGCGTTAGTTGTAGCTGCAGAGGAAAAAGCATTTCTTTCATTATGCAGAAAATGTCTGGTCAAAAAGCTACTTTAGAGTGCATGCATGTCATTAAGAAAAATGCCAACATTTTCTTCAGAATTGCACTGTATATTGTCTTATAAGCATATTCAAACCCCTGGAATGTTTTCGCAAGTTTTATTTGGGATTTTATGTGACAGTCCAACATAAAATAGTTAATAATTGTAGAGACAAACTATGCTCTATGCTCTCCTCGGCACTAATGTCGTAAATTGCCTGAAAAAGTTACAAAAAGGAGCTGTGCCCGCAGCAAAAGAAGTTTCTGCCAAATATTGACTCAGCAGTGATGAATAAAAACAGTTTTCAGAAATCATTCAAATCCAAGAATTCTTATCCTTCCACTTCACAATCTCGTCAATCTCACATAAAATACCAATAAAGTGCACTGAAGATTTTAGTTGTAATTTGTAAAATCTAAGGAAAAAAAATGGGTATAGGTATCACTGAAAAACATAACACATACCGAACACCAATTTGTAATTCCTGTTGTCCCCATTTTGACAATGACGTCTGGTCACTCCTCACCTGAGAACCACCTGACAGCTTCTGCAGCTCCGCCTTGCAGCGCTGCAGCTCCTCCTCCAGCTCCGCCCTCTCCCTCTGACTGCTGTCGTACAGAATCTGCAGCTCCTGCAGCTCCATCTTCAGACCGTCACACTGGGGGAGGGGGCGAAAAAAAAAAGACCCAACATTTATTTTGTGTTTTAAGATCGACTGACTTGAATATGAACGTCTTGCCGAGGCGTCGTACCTCTCTCTGGACCTGCGAGGCCTTCTCCTCGGCCTGCTTCAGCTGGTCTCTCAGTGAGAAGATCTCCCCGATCCCGCCGCTCCAGCTCGTCGGCGTCACCGGCTTCCCGTCAAAAGAGATGTTCTTCTGAATGGAGGCATCCACCAGGCGACAGTTCTCAGACTGGGTCATGGTCATGTAACTCCCGGTCGTGACCTCACCCGAGCCGGCCTCGCCCTCCTTCACCTCTTCGCCCTCCGCTGCATCCTCCTCTTTGAGTGACAGATAGACGCTGGAGCTGTGGAGACGTGATTCAAAAACGACATTTCCAATTCGCGTGGCAGAATTTGCTCAAACACTAAACGGTTTAAATCTCAGTTGTTTCCAGTTGCACATCAACTAATAACATTATTTCGGTATTTGTGCATCATCCAGCTAGGTTTATTTTTACAGCAAATTTCAGCAACAAGGCCGTTCTGTGGTCTTCCACACGAGCTGCGGTAAGTAAACAGGTGGGAGGTATTTTTTCACATGACACATGGCAGCGCCTCGGGGTAGTATTCCAGAGGGTATCCCCAACAGCTGATGCAACGAGGACAGCTCGTGATTGAGCAGCCATTGACCTCTCACCAGGTTCTCTGTCTGTGCAGCAGCTGCAGCTTCTCTGTGAGCCCCCTGTTGTTTTCCTTCAGGGTCTGACACTCCTCCCGCAGCATACGGCACTCCTCCTTCAGAAGGTCCACATCACCTAAAAGAGACGACGGCAAAAGGTCAGGAGACAGAAGGGCTCACATTCTGCTCATGAAAAAAACATACTGATATCATCGAAGCCTATTAATAGACTATGCATGCCTTAGTGTTCAAAGGAATGCCTACTTTTTCTCTTATCCTTGGGAGGAAAATTAGTCAATAATAGGTGATGAATTACCAGCTGTTAGCATCAGCAAACTGAAAGTTTTGTCAGTTCTCCACTGTACAATGAAAACCTGCAGACGAAGCGCAAACACTGGAGCTGCTGGGTCTGAGTGAGGAGGATGGTTGTAATGGTGATGCATCGTGTTAGTTTTCTTCCACACAGAGTAACGGCATGTAAGCCAAAAGTTTAGCTTTGGTTTCATCGTCCAGCCAGAGCGCTTTCTACCACATGTTCGCCATGTCCTCTGTTTGCGTGAACATAAAGTTAGGCAGATTTTTTTCTATCATTGAAAAAGTTGAAACAATCAGAGAAAACTATGAGATCTCCTTCCCTGGCTCAGCCGCTGAACCCAGCGGTGAACTCATATGTCCCTCCCTGTCATGACTTCATGTTCCTGGTATCCAAATGACACACATGCGCCACTCCCCTTCCCAACAATTTGCAGTCACATCTGTCTGACGTATTATTTATTGAAGCCTAAAGCTGATTAATGTACTTGACAGCAGGATGCTAACATGATGTGAGGGAGGACTACCCAAGCTCTTGTGTTTATTTTGAGATTCTTTGTGGTTTTTAGAGAATAGGATACATTTGATTTTAAAAGCACGTCTTTCACTCTGTCTCTCATTGACATCAGATCCACTTGTAAGCGTTATTTGTGTTGTATTTTTTCCTCTTTCTGCACCACACCGATTCCTCCTCACGTCCTCACCCTCTCTCCTCTCGGCCTCCCGCCGCTGGCTCTTCATGCTGATCTCCGCCCTCAGCGTTGTGATCTCCAGCTCGTACTCCTGGGTCTCCTCGGTCAGGCGCTGCAGCTCGGCCCGCCTGCGGCACAGCTCCTCCTGCAGCGACGCGATGTCGTTCTCGCGCTCGGCGGCGGCCTCCTCCGCCGCCTGCTGGAGCAGGAGCACCTCCTCCTGGGCCACGCGCAGCTCCTCCTGGGCCTCGGCCAGCTCGCTCTCCTTCTCCTCCTCCAAACTGTTCATCTCCTCCTGCACGGAGCGCAGCTGGGCTGGATAGAGCGGGGAGATGTTAGTCTTTCTTTATGGAAGGCATGTGTGTGTGTGGGAGAGGCTGTGCGTGTGTGTGTGTGTGTGTGTGTGTGTGTGTGGTGTGTGTTGTGTGGTGTGTGTGTGTGTGTGTGTGTGTGTGTGTGTGTGTGGGTGTGTGTGTGTGATCTCACCTGAGCTATTGCTGCTGTGGGTCTGTGTGTGTTTCTGTGTGGGTGGTGTGTGCTTGCAGAATGCAGAGCTGATGTAACTCAGTGTAACTTTATAGATTTTTCAAGATGAAGTTGGGATTGTTCGGTAATTACAGGAAGAGAAAATACTCTGCTGAACATATAACTTAGATTTCTACATACCTTTGAGATCTAAAAATATTAAAGGCTTTATAAACAAAATTTATAATTAGTATTATTATTAGTAGTAGTAGTAGTAGTGGTATCTATATTTACAGTGAAATCTTCCCTCTTCTCAGAAAGATGAACTGATTTTTGCACTTCAGACTTTATTCACTTCAAAGTTGTATTTGAATAATTTTTGACAGTCTAATACAAAATATCAAATACGACAACTGTACAGCTTTTTTAAAATATATATATTTTTTCAATTTATTACAGAGGCATCATCCCTGAAGTTTTGCCTATTTATCCTCCTCCAGCTGGACTTCTATAACACTTCTGAGGTAGAAAATATTGGTTGGAATGAGATGATTCTGGCTACCCGGTTCAGTTCTTTGAGCAATTCCTTGGGCACCATGAGAGAGAAAACTTGCATAAGGTAGAGTACAGTATAAAAACTTTCTCAGTCTAAAATGTTAGTCCAGAGAAAGTGACATGACAAACTAAAGGATTTTATCTGCTGAGGTTTGTGTTTTGGTGATACCTTGTAGATTCTGGATCTGCCGAGTGAAGGCCTCGGCCTGATGGGCGCTGGCCAATCGCTCATCCTCCAGCAGACCTGAGGACATGTGAGAAAGAAGAGATGGAGAGAGTGTGAAGAGGTGAAAGAAACACACAACACATCAGTAGGCCAGAAGGGAGAGAGAGAGACTCGATAAGCTGCTGGAACCTGACGCACGACTGGAGGCCACAGTGAAAACCTTCGGCATGTTTCTCTGTTCATATTCCTGTCATAGCAGCAAATAATAAGAAAAGTTTGATTTGCTTTTGGTTGCTATTTTCACAGATTTATTTCACTGCTATTTTTAGTTTGTTTTTCTCTCAGTAAAAGCTTTTTGTTCCTGCTTGCATAATCTGTGCCAGCTATGGCGTTTTCAACCAGAGTTGTGGGATTTAGTGCCGAGGACAGAGAGCAGACTGCTCAGGCTACAACTGGGTGAAAGACAGAGAAAACGAAATGCCTCAGGACAGCGCAGACCCTGTATAAACATGACAGGTATTATAATCCAGGCAGTATTGAGTTAGCAGGTCTCTGTGGCTCCAGCCCTCCCTGCTGCTGGTCTGAGTCAAGGTCACATGTCTTATTTAATGCAACCCAACGCCATTTTTAGATGGTTAACAAGTGTGTTGAGTTTCAAACGCCTCTTTAGTTTGTCTCACACATAAAGTCCAGACCTGTCCACTTAGAACTGAATTGAGTTTTGCATGTTTTTTAAGTTGTTTTTGTTTGTTTTCTTTCACTTTTAATTACATTTTTGTTTCATTTAATTTATTCTTAATTAAATTTTGAAATGCCATTTTTATTTACTTATCATTTTAAACTTCTGTCAAATAAAACTTTTATTCAAAACCATGTCAATGTGGTCCATTTGCCGACATCTTTCCCAACGTTCATACTGATGTCTGCAGTTACGGGCTTAAACTGTTTCACTGTTCAAACTTCCTGTTTCTTCTTTCAAATGAAGGCAGGGTTTTATTGCAGCAGATCTGTTTTTTAAGAGAGATCAGATTATTTTCTTAATATGGTTTTATTATCCAGAACAGGTATAAAAGGCCCAAGGCGAGTATCTTAATATCTACAGCCAATATAACCAATCTGAGTCAAGCTATAAAAAAGAAATAGAAAGTGTCCCGTATGTCAGTTTTAGGGGTTTTATTAAAAAATTATCGGCCGTTCCCCAAGTCCTAAAAGTATTTCAATCTAACACCAAGTGTGCTAAACCAGCCATGCACTGGTTGATCAGGTAAAGATGTTTAATAGTTGCAGCTGCTGGACAAGCACCTAGCATTAATTTTCATCATGTCACATCCAATGGGAGTTAGAGAAGCAGAAAACACACGTCAGAGTGGGCCTGGGTTTAAAGTCAGACGACCACAATCATGGAATGTTGCCAAAATATGCGGAAGAAAAAACAATGTATAAGTTAAAATGTGTATTTATCCCTTTTTCTCTCTGTTATGCATAAATAAGATCCAGTTAAACAAATTGTTAGAGAACACAGCTGAACGATTAGTATCATGAAGATCGAGGAGCACCGAAGACAGGTTGAGGATGAAGTTTAGAGCAGGATTATAATTGTGCCAAGTTCTGCTTGGTGAAACATGATGGTGACAGCATCATGCTGTGGGGAGGGTTTTTGTCTGCAGAGCTAAGGAGGCGGAAATCCTGCTATCAGCCGGCGAAAGACTCAAGATATTCAAACCAGACCTAAATCCAAATGACTATCCTTTCAAAACCTCTAGGTTTTACTTGTGCTTCAGTAAAGTATTGACTCAGAGTGGCTGCAAACAAATTCAAGCCGCACGCTTCCAATTTTTATTTTTAAAAAACTGGCATCACATTGTCAATTATGCACCACTTTGTGTCAGTTTACCAAATGAAATTTGAATGACTAACCTAGAAGTTCAGCTAAAGCGGGGAGGGGATCTAAAATAGATCAAGGCACTAATTATGTAGATTACTGTGAGATTTAATGGCTGCTGTTATGATCTGCAAACACAAAGTGTGCGGAGTGAAACACAGGAACCGTTCATTCAGAGCAAAATCTCATTTTTTCAGGCAGAAATTAAAACAGGCATTAAAATACCATTTACTCTACCTTGAAGCTTTTGCTAACATGCCCCAATGTGCTTCGGTATCTAAAACAAAGATGACGCCAAAATATAAAACACACCAAAATAATGAATAATCTTTCCTTCTTTCAAACTGAAAATCATTTCTTTTGTGACCCGAGTCATGCAGAATTACCAAAGTCTCCAAATATGTCTAATTAGCTTCGCCTTGATAACAATGTTAGAGAAAAACGCATCTGAATCGCCCCAGTGCTACCCACACCGAGCCTCTGCTTGTTCCTGACTTAACCCACAGCCATTTGTCACCGCGGTCCAGGACACTTGGTCTGGAAGCTTCTCTCAGTGGACACGTGGTTGTTAGAGGACCGCCCCCACCACCGCCAGACAAACCACTGAGCTCATGGTGAACTCTTATGCTCACACTCATAAACACAAGCTGAGCTCAGAGGGGCCTCATACCTGCGGGCTTAACTCACTGCGAGGCTCCCCCAGCATTAAGACCATCATTTCTAAGGTGTGACACAACGCCCTGTCGACCAGCTCTGAATGGTGGATCTGGTCACTGACTGCATTTAAATGAGACTGATCTGCCTTTAAAGGGAAGTTCAGCTGTTCAGAAGAGAGACATATGTTTTTTTTCTGGGTTTTTAAGTCATTTTGGGGAAGTTTTACTTTTGCTTGTTGGTCTCAATAGGCATCTTGTTCAAGTAAACCTCAGTCAAAAAACTTAGATGTTTTTTTTCTCTTTTTTTTTACTATATATAAAGTATAGTTTTATACCTAGATAAACCGAAAATATTGCTCAAAATATTCTATTGGTCAGATTCTTTTTTTTAGAGAGTTAAATGTTATTGGTCAAAAACATTCATTCTTCCTTTATCTTTCTGGACTAATACCCTTTGTATCTAAAATACAATCCTATATTTTCTGCAATTTTCTTTAAATTTATATTGTAGGCAGAATTGTGAAGCAGAATGAAAATGATAAATGACAAAAAATACAGACCAAGCAAAAATATGAAAGGGAAGTTGTGCATTTGTAGTCAGCCCCCCTTTACTCAAACACCCCTTAACAAAGCCGAGGGCCACCTGCTGTTCTCAGAAGTCAACAGGTGTCCACCTGCATTTAGCTCCAGCCGTCGTCTTATTAACTGTCCCTTCTGGATGAACACATCCCCACAGCCTGATGCTGCTACCAACATTTATCACCATTGGCTCAAGATGATGAACAGCATCCAAGGTTTTGAATGACTGCGGTCGGCAGCCGTTCATCCATCCACTGGCCGCGCTTTTGAGTTAAAAAATGTTGAAAGTTGACAGGAAATTTGAAAATATCACTTTATATTGGAAAATTACCTGAACACCAACTATAAAGTCTTAAGAAAGTGCAAACATAAAAAAGACAACCCTGAAACAAATAGGCAATGCTAAGCCTGGTGGGGGCAGAAGTAAAGCCTGGTGGCCCGCCAGGCTTATAATACACCGAGGAAAACTGTGGCATCAGTGTTCCTCCACATATGTGCAGCACATCTGACTTTCTTCCACAAGTTTCAGTTGTTTCAAACATGACAAACTGTAAATTGTGCTTTTTACAGCTTCTATGCATCAGTTTTCCTTAAATATCAGATTTGTGGGGTGCTAGTCTATTGAGAGATTCTTCCACTTGATCTATGCATTTCTGCAATTACACAGATAAAGATTGTTGCTGCATTGAAAACCAATTCAGCATTTCATTGTCCTCATCACACCCGGTGGCCTACCACATAAAATACTTGTGCAAAAATCTTGACATTTAAAGTGGCAGTGAGAAAAGCATTTGTCTGATGGACATTAATACTTGTCCAAAGCACTGTACGGTGTGCCGATTAGCTGAATTATGGTTCTCCACATGATGAGTGACGAGTTTAGAAATAAGGCTTCCATTTCAAGGCTGGATGTCTCACCTTGCAACTCATGGAAACTTTCCTGGTGCTTGTTGGATGTCTCCCTGGCCTCGTCCAGCTCTAGCAGCAGCTGCAGGACCTGGGCCTTCAGCTCCTCCAGCTCCTGCTCCTCCGTCAGCAATTCCTGCTCCTTCCTCCTCTTCTCCAGCCCTTCCCCTTCTCCTTCCTCCTCCCTCAGCTTCCTCTCTTCCCCCTCGTCCTCCTGGGACCGCTCCTGGTCCATCTCCTCCTTCTCGTTGTCCTCCTCCAGGACGCCTCTCTCCTTGGCCGTCATCTCGTTGTCCATGTTTGGGCTGCTGGCGGCTTTCAGATCGCTGGGATCATCTGATGGAAGGATGCGGATGATAGAAAGAGAGATAATGAAAAGGAGAGGTTGATGTGTTATGAAGAAAAAAAATCTCTGTCATTCTCTGGATTCAGCCATGCTTGAAACAACAGCACCATCTTGTGTGATCCAAGTGGCACAAATTGTTTTTTGCGCACCAACTCTTACTCCACTTATGTCATCTGAAGATAGTGAAAGAATCATAAATATCTGCTGGTGAAGCCGTATTTTACAGAAAAAAAAATGTTTGAAAAAGAAATCACAACACGCAGCTTAAAATCAACTTACAGCATCACAATCAGGATGTAGAGTTAAAGCCATTGAGCTGCACTGTGAATACAAATATTCAGCCAGTAGGTGGAGTGAGTTAGCTGACACATTGCGGCAAAGAATACTAAAAAAAAGGGGGGTTTGGGGCGAGCCAGTGTGCTGAAGCAATCACTATGACTCACCATCCAGCAATGCACCTCAAAGTCCATAACAACACCAGCTACCACTCACAGTGAGACAGATGAGACAGATGCGACTCTCACATTCACACAGCCTTCACAGAATCCATTCTTTGCTTATTTCACAGCCCGATACAAACAAACATGACTGCTAATGGGAAAAGCAAAAAAAAAAAAAAAACATGTTAAAACTGAGGTAGAGCAATGAAAAGAGGCTTTATGTAGATTGCAAGGGGGCCTGCACAGACAAAAGGAGATGATGGAGGCCTGAGCCTCCTCCAGGGGGTTTGGTCTCTTCAGGGAAAGAGATCGCTCGCGCTCCTTTTTCAGTATCACTCCAAAGAAGTCTGCTCACGGTGCGGGCGCACTGACCCTGGCCGTCGTTTCCTTCCCACCTCTCGGCAGCACACTCTTTTAAGGTCGAGTCCGTTTCACGGCTAAATGAAGACGCGGCGTTACAAATTTGTGTCTGAGTGCCACAGAACTGCCGGTTAGTTCGACTCAGAGAGGGAGAGTGAGATGTGCAGAGGAAAGGCAGCAGCAGGGGACGGGGTGGCGTATTAACTACAGATCTACCTAATTAGGAGCCATACACACCGGTGTAATCATCACTCTGGGGATGCGTGCGCTTCTTGAGATAATTATTTCTCACCCTCCCTCTTGACAGGATGTAACTATAGTGCAGAGTGGGGAGAAGTTTGGAGTGGGTTACTTTATGAAACAAAATCCCAAGCCTGAGGTGTCTTACAAAACGCCTTACCAACACTGCAAATTCCCCTGTGAAACACGGTGGTGGCAGAATCATACTGTGGGGGACGAAGAGCAGGAAGGTCAGACATAGCTACCGTAGCAATTGAAGTTAACTAAACTCCACTGAAAATCTGTTTTATTTTCCAAATTTGGCATTTGCAATAAGTACATGGTACACAAACAGTTAAAATAGTTTGTGCAGAACTAAACTCAAAAGAAGTTGCTTCAAATTCAACCACAAAAAATGGGTTTCCGTTACTGAAAGTTCATTTCTTAAAGATGCTCTTCATCCACGCTGACTAAGCTTGAGATATTTTGGAAAAAAGAACAAGAACATTTTCAGTTTAAATGTACAAAACAAGAAGAAACATGCTTTGTAAGATTTGCAAGTGTCATTGCGGTGAAAGGTTCTGCAAAGTATCAACTCAGGAGGCTTTAATAGAAATACTGGTTATTACAAAATGGGGAAAAAAAGAATGAAAAGAGTGTGAATACATTTGCAAGGCAGTGAATTTGCATGACTATTATGCACATGCAAAACCTGCACATGCTTTATACTCAAGAGACCCAATTTCTCTTTCTTCATAATATTGTTAATTCAAAGAAGGCAGCCTCTGAGGGAAAAGTGAGAGGTGTCATGAACACAGGACTATTTTGTCATTAAACTTTGATGCTGGTGTAATGAGTTAGTCATAAAAAGCCGGAGCACATTAGCAGGAGGGAGGGTTAGCTACGTATATAGCCAGCAGCAGATAATGGCCATCAAGAGACTGAACACTTCTCCCTGAATATCACTCAGATTCTCTGGGATGTATGATTAGAGGAAGGATTCGTGCTTTTAAGTCGTCTCTGCTGTTTCTGGGAGTAATGCAGCACCATTCGAGCTCGTTTTTTTGCCCATCCATCCATGCATCCATCCATGCATCCATCCATCCATCCATCCATCCATCCATCCATCCATCCATCCATCCATCTATCCATCCATCCAGACAACCTAGACATCCTCCAGCTCATTCTAGGGCATCCCAACACGTGGGATACATGTGGGACATCCCAGTAATTTCTCCAAAGAGAGATGCCCAGGAGGCATCCAGATCAGTTACCAAAGCATCTCTGGTGGCTGACTCCTTTTAATACAGCAAAGCAAAGGCTCCCTCACTCGGTGAAGCTCTTTACCCTGCCTGCGTGTGGACATCCACCTGAGGATGCTAATTTCAGCCCCTTCTATTCAATATATTGTTCTTTGGGTCACGATACATAACTCATGACCCAAAGTCAGAACATGAACAGGCCGGCAAAATCGAAAGCTTTGCTTTTTTGGCTCAGGTCTTTCTTTACCACAACTCACCAGAGCAGCATCTGCATTATTTCAGGCGATGCCGCAATCTGTCCGCCCATCGTCATTCAATTCTGCCATCAGTCGTGACGTCAAGGTTCTTAAACTCCTCCATTGGAAGCAGAGGGAGTAGTCCACCTTTTTTCTGCTGAAAACCATGTTCTCATCCAAGATGCTTCACACTCAGCTGTGAAAACCAAAGATGAGATCCTGAGGTTCCCGAACCAGGCATCGTCCTCTCTACGATGCAGATAAATACACCTGCATCAGGTTTATTTATGAAGTAGAGCACCGGCGACAAGAGTCCAACCTACACCTGAACAGGTTCGACTTTGTGCCAAGAATGCGGACACATCTCTTCCTTTAGAGACACAAGAATCGGATAGTCTTCAATAACTATTCAAAAACCCCATAATAATGGAATAACCTTCTCCCAAATCCTCAGGCTCCACCTTCTCCACGGAGGACATGTAGTTTGAGGTCAACCAACAACCTTCTCTCCACAGCCTCTCCCAAATTCCTCCAATGGACGAGTTTTTGCCTCCTCAACCAGAGACCTTATCTACTTAAGGAGTTTCTTCAGTTTTGCACCCATACTGCATGCATTTGTTTCACACAGCTAAGTTACTGAAGTCTGTTAGTTTCATTAGGATGTTTAAAAAAATCACATCAAACATCTCGCAGCTTCATTACACCTTTCTTCAACCACACCCATAGTGCAACATCTTTTGCCATGTATTATTTGACGCTCCTTAAATAGAGCTGTTACCAACTGTGCTGCACACATTTAATGGCTCACTTCTGTTCGTCACTTCGGGCACTTTTGCAACATCATTTAAAAATCACCGCGATTGTCACAGCCGAGCTGATAATAAGACACCTTCAACACAAAGTGACTGCAGGTTGCAAATTATCTACTTCATAAACGTTTCAATGGAGAAAGTTCATATCTTTCAGAGTTTCCGTCCCCCACAGCTCTCACTTAGGTTTCCTCTACTGAACTGTCAGTCATAAAGATTTTCAACTACTTTCCCTCCTCTAATGACTCAGTGAGGACATCAGTCTTGCAGCTATTAAATGTGACTAGAGTGGCATTTTAAGACTTGTGACATCGCAAGGTTTGTTGGAAGAGTGGTGAAGCAAATTGGTTCAAGCTCATGCAATGACTAACCCTTACAAATTTCATAAATTGAAAAAAATGAAACAGTTTCGAGGTGGAAGAGAGATGACTTTCTGCCCTGTCTGCATGTGGACGTCCTACTGAGGAAGCTACTTTCAGTCCCTTCTATTCAATATCTTGTTCTTTGGGATAAAGTTGGCTGTGCTCACTGTTGACTGAGACCTGGATTAAGAATTTTAGATTCTTTTTGAACGTTTCAAAGTGTAAATCCACATTCAAATAGGATTTAGGAAAGTAAAATTCATTAAATGATTTCAGTTTTTAGCAAAAGGTCAATGACAAAATCCAGGATGTCCTGGTTTGTGAAAATTTTTTTCTTATTCATATAATCCAGGATGCTCCCTTTTTGTTTATCGTTTTTGTTCTGAAATTGAGAACTCTCCAAACTTTTCAAAGGCGATGAACCTAAACAGTGAGCTGTCGGTGCTTCTCAAACAGAATAGCATCTTTTAACAAATTGATTCACACGGAATAACTGAACCTCGTAACTTCTATTTTTACTTTGCTCATTGGCACCCAGCAGGTCCTGTAATGAGTTTCTGAATCCTCTGACTACAATAAATCATTATGTTCAGAGTACAAGCCTGGAGGGTATTTTAGATCTGGCCGTGCCCAAACAATGTGGGAAAATTAAGCTTCTCTCTGCTGGAATCAGCTCCACTCCTTAAGTAAACATTGTTCAGAGCAAAGCTGCTTAATTTTTATTTCTCTTTGCCACTGCTTCTGAACAGCATGGCATCTTAACTTCTGTGTACTGTATTTCAGTAGCTGAATTTGTGCATAAACCCATCTATTTTGTGAGGGCTTTGGACGTTTGTTAGAGAACATCAGGGAGCAAAAAGCCTCACAGAGGCCAAGGAACAGGGAGAAAGCTGTAGAGAAGTGACTGCAAATCAACATGTCGGATTCCTGGAATGATTTGAGTATTATTAAAATTCCTCAAGGAAAATTTATCTTCCTCCAAAGGAGGGAGAGAGAGATAGATATTACTCAATTAATCGTAAAAAATAATCGATAGAGTGCTTGATTGCTAAAGTATTCTACTACAACAGCCCTAGTACAATCCAATGTCTGAAAAATGGAAACAGAGTGACACACCTACCAAGACATGACTGTCCACCTAAGCTTCCATGCTGGTGAAGGAAAGGCGATAATAAGAGAACAAGAAAAGTCCCATGGTGAATCTGAAGGAGCTTCACAGATCCACAGCTGAGCTGTGAGAATCTCTTGGTACTTGAACGTTTGGCGAATGATAATTGGTCCAGAAGACCCCGAAGCACCTCA